CCAGCTCCCTGATTGGTCATTTTACTAACCAAGCATGTAAGTCTAACCATTGAAGGAGCTCAACTGATTTCTAGTGTGCTCTGGGATCAGAGGGGCCATGGAAAAGGTAAATGGAATAGGTAAAGAAAATGCAATTTCAAGAAGTATTAAAAAATGCAAGTTGAAAAAGAAAAAAAAATGGGAAATAAGGAATTACATCTTTAAATGTGTGATTAGGTAAGATATCAGATTTATACATTTTGGTTTTTAAATTTACATTTAGTAATTGGAATTGAAAATACAGTTTTAAATTCCAGTATTTAATAAGGGATTAATAAATACAATTTTAAATTCCTCTTTTATGATTTAATTTAAAATGTGTAATTAGAAAAAAAGTTTTCAAATTGCCTAATTTCAATCTTAAATTGAAATCATTGGCCTTTTTAATTGAATTCAACTAAAAANGATGGAGGAAGAGATCACACTCTACACAACAGACTAATAGAAGATATGCAACATCTTGCTGCAAATGCTGAAGGACCCAAGCTTCCTAAGGAAGTACAATCTACTTTCTCCGTTCTTGTAGACGGCTTCACAGTTGCATCACCAGTCTAGTTTGTTGTCCAGGTGAACACCAAGTTATTTATACACCTCCACCACCTCAACTTCTTCTCATCTGTTAACAGGATTCAACCTGTTCCTGTTTCTTCTGAAATCCACAATCATCTCCCTTGTTCTGCTGACATTCAGGATTATTGTTTCCACACCATACCAGAAAGCGCTTTGTACTCAATTTCTTGTCCATCTTTGATGCACCCAATGATTGCAGAGTCATCCTAGTATTTCTGTGGATGCCAGGACTATGTCTGGTACTGGAAGTCAGACGTGTACAGAGTAAAAGTGAACGGTGAGAGTGCTGTCCCCTTTGGTGCTCCTGTGCTGATGACTACTTGATTAGACAGCTGATCCCTTCAGTCTAACAAACTGGGGTCTTCTTCTTCTCAGGTAGTCTTTGATCCATGTGGATCAAATTGTTAATGGCTCCACCTGAATCTTCTGAAGTTTCTCAAAAAAGTAAGTCAGGCTGAATTGTGTTGATTGCAAATTTAGCTTTAATGAAGGATTGGCAAAAAGGTCATAAGAAATGTGTAGTTTCCCAGTTTAATGATCGTCAATCATGTGGAAAAGGACGGTCAGCTCAGAAAAGTCCAAATCTGTGATTTTGGAAAGATCCCCCCAAAAAACCACTATGTATCAGTGATGACTTGGTGCAACTTATTTCAATTCTGATATGATATTGATACTGCAGCTTTGAGTATTTGCTGACCTTGAACTATTGACCTTTTTATTTTGGGGGATAAGCATCTGTAACTTTAAAAACTCCTAGCTTAGATGAAACTGTAATGCAACTAACTAACTTTACTTTTGTTAAATTGATAACTCATCTTAATAATACTTTACCATGCCTTAAAATGTATCTTATTAGGGGTTACGTATTATATACCACTAAAGGACTTTTGGATAGAGCATATTTGCCCTGTTTTGGCTTAATTACCTTGCACTAGATTTCAATGAATATATTTCCCATCAGTAAATACTTAAAACTAGTGGAGACACACTTTAGCAGTCATTACTGGATAGTCTCTTTAAACGACTGCTTAGGTTACCATAACTAAACAAACTCACATGCATTATGTATTATATTTAGTGACTTTAAGTGGACTTCAGAATTAATTCTCTCGATCTTAAAGGTAATGCAATGATTTATAGGAACTCTGTTTTGCCTCATGTATTAGACCGCAGCTGTCCATTTAAGAGTATAATAACATTTCCAAGTACCAGTTGTTTAGCTGTTTTTTTATTCACCTGCTTACCAAACCCTAATCCAATTAAAAATTCGTAAATAACTTATTCTTTCAATCTCATACTTCAAAAATATAATTACACATAATTTGTGGTTTGTGAAATAAAAAAAAAAAATTGAACAAGTTGGGCAATAAAACTGCTTTTAGATAAAGTAAAAAAAAAAGAACAAACAGGCTAGAAGAACCTGCCCTTAGGTATCTCATCTTCAGATGGTCTATTATGAAAATGCAATTGATTCTCTACCGGAACGCTGCTCTTTAATTTGGGTTCACCATAGACTAATTAAAAAACATTGAATAAGTCAAACAAAGAAAGCACCAAAATGCTCTGGCTAAAATGAGCAACTAGCTGAGAAAGCACAGAACAACCTACATATCGAAAGTAGCATCTGTTCAGTAGTATGCAGGGTGGGGCTTTTCTCCTGCACCCCAGCCCAACTACTGACACTGACAAACACAGACAAAGAGGGAAATGCATGGGAGCAGCACATGAAAAGAAAAGGGGCAAAAAGGGGATGAATGAGAAAGAACAGGGACAACAGAACAATGAAGGGGGAAAAAAGCAGGTACCAAAGCAGAGATAAAAGATGGCTGGATAAAGGGGGAAAATGGAAGATGAAAGAGGAATGTAAAGAAAAACTAAATGTGGAAAAATAAAACATAAAGAAAACACAGAAGGGAATGGAGGGAGCATAACATTGGCAGGCTAATGAATAGCCAGAGAACATTCAGTTTTAATTTGAATGGAAAAAGACAGAAAAAAGGGGGAAATATCTAGAAAACCTCTTGGAACAGTGAAAGGGGCAAAGTTAGAATGGAATGCAGAGAAGTGGCTTTAATCAGACCAAAACTGGCCCACAAATACTTTAGGTTGCAGCCAGCACTGCTGGGACAATGCCAGTGAAATGTGACTAAGACACAGAGCAAGTGAGTCACTGATGTGCTCTGGCAGCCAAACGCTTAGCCTGAAAGTTGTGTAGAAGTTAAAAGGGGTAAATGGTGAGTGTTTGTATTTAGCTACCTAATAAAATCCATTAACAATCTCTTCCAGATGTTCCATTTGCATTCTTTCACTGTTTCTTTATTCGTCTGTGCCACTTGAAGTGTTCTTTATTGTTGTTTACAGTAAGCTACAAATGGACCCCTCAGCTCCCACAGCATCCTTGCCTAAGAATCTATAGATAATCTAACATAACGAAGAACCTTGCTCTTAGCTTCAGTTGTATCTTTAAAGAAACCCTCACTCTGCGGTCCTGTTTACATTACAGCCAGTCGTTAAAAGTGGGGTCTTTTCCCATGATTTTTGTACTAACCCATTTCGATCAAAACCTATTAATTATAATCTACATATACATGGCATGAATGAAAATGGTGTAACTTATACACCCAGTCACTAGCTGGCAGTGTGTTCTTTAAAACACAACATGTCCAAGCACTTCCTGCTTGGAAAGCAGGAAGAAAGGGTGTGTTTGATTTCAGCAGCTGTATCCTCCAAGGACCCAGTCTACCTGGACAGGGTCCTTGGAGGGCCGTGAAAATAAGAAGGCCGGAAGAGTTTGGCTGTACTGTATTTTCAAACAGGTCCAGCCTTCTGCGGCTTTCGCCCCCCCTTACTCAGCCTACCTCTGTCTCCTAGCAACCGTGACAGCTGACACACAAAGCAGGCAAAGAATGGATAACAAACTTCTCACTACTGCTCTGTGTGCTAATTGCATTTTTGAGGTGTTTCAGCAGCAGTACCACATCCATGTCTAATAATAATAGTGCACTAAGGGCCAATAATGGATATTTACTAATATTATGTTACATATATTTTCGCACCACTTGGACACCACGAAAAACCGACCAGAGTGCCGACATTGCTTCTTGGTTCAGTTAAACAATCCTCACAATCCTGAGCTGCTTCACAATTACTGGCACATGACCGACTCCCCCCTTCCTGAAACAAAAACAGTAACTACACCGTAATAAATATTGACCAACATTGGCCAAGATCGATATCAATGCTAATATATCATGCATCCCTGATAACTAGATAAATAGAAATATGTCATTTTTTTCTATTTATTTAATGCATGCATTTACTATTTATTCTAAATGATAATAAGCACTGGCATCCATTAAATGTTTCTGCTCAACTGTGTTACTTTTTAGCATGAGACAGTCCGTGGAACAACTTTGGGCATCCCATAGGGACACCACAAGATGGGTGAAAATATGCTTGAATTGCGTACCAAAAGAGCCTGCATGATCTGTTTACATGTCAGGCAGTAATGTGTAAAAAGCATGGGTAGAAACACTGCGCTCCTAAATTAAACAGCTAGTTTGGTTTGGCATGCTTAAAATCATCTATATATAGGGGCTGAAACAATGAATCAGATCAATCGTGATTAATCAACTGATTTAGTAATCAATTAATTGTAAACTGGAGTATAGTGACTCTAAAACATGACTTTAGCTGACAGAGCTACCCACTTAGAGCAGCAATTATACCAATAATGTGAAAAAAAATACAAAAGTTTTGAATTTAGGATAAAAAAAAAAAGGTTTTGTGTGTCAATATGCTCTATCCAATATTCCTCAAGTGGAAAAGTTTCACCTGGTTTAATAATAATAATAAAAAAAAAAAAAAAAAAAAAACTATTCTTCATGAACCTTTGGCTATACGATTATTAATTGATTATTCGAAAAAATTTGCAAAAATAATTGTTAGTTGCAGCCCTTAACAGATATTATTTTAAAAATAACTTGAAATTTAAATTGATATCTCTGAAAACACAAAAAATTTGGATGGAGAGTAGCAGATTTAATGGGGGTTGTTCAGAGTACCACCAATCTGGATCCAATAAACTATTACAGGAATAAAAAAAAAACTCCACATAAACAAACCCGCCAGCATCTAACTACAAACTAACGCATCTCTGTATTCGAGCAGTAAAACACCAGAACAAGTAGAATAACATAAAGTAGGAGAACTGTTTTTTTTTTTTTTTTTACCAGCCGAGGTGTCCCTGAACGCAGCACGTAACCCAAACGTTAAAAGTAGCCTCAGGGAGAAGAGTAACAAATGTGATGTACACCAACACATGAAGAGAAAGAAGTGTTTGAAAGCTAAACGTGAACCGTCTCCAGACACATGAAGGCTTCATAGCTTACCTCGTATGTTGTCCGGAGATAAACAAAACAAGCCGCTATCAGTCCGAACAACTGTCAGTCTGCAGTTGGCAAGGAAAGGTAATCCTCTTGTTTGAAGCCTAACCTTACTCTTAAAACTTCCTTTTAAAGCATCATGATGCCAATATTATCTTTGCTACGTAACCATTAAAGCGAAACATAAACAGTGTCGAATTGCATTAAGTTTAAGTAATAAATTTGAACAGCATGACAGCTGACAACAGTAGCTGCACCAGCGCTGTAGCTCGATGTGACTGCTTCACTTCACCTCGAAGACTGGCGTCAGCTGGCAAGCTGGAAGGCGGAAACACGCACTTCCGGAAAAGATTTTCAAAATAAGGCCGATGATTTTATTATTAATTTTAACATTTAAAATGAACTCTATCTCAATACTGGGACTGTATGCAGACCCTTTACAAAAACATTTTACATATGAAATAATTGGGAAATAAGTGAAAAAGTGAAGTGAAAAAGGAAGTAAGAATTAAGCAATACTCACAAACTTACACTGAGCCCCTAAATAAAGAGTAAAACAAACAAAAAATGTTAATCGGTAATTGGACTGATTGGCACAACATGATACAGTATTAGAGCTTCAACAGCCTCATCAGCTGTGAGTCTACAACATGTAAAAACATTTGCCTACTTTTGATTAAGCGAATTAGATCCCAATCATTGGCAAATGAAAAAAGAGAATGCATTTAGAAATTAAAATATAGGCAGTGGGCTCGAAGAATTAGGTAAATATGCTTTAGTTGCAAATCAAAAAGGGGACATTTGATAATTTCTTGCATTACAATAAAAAATGTATGTGAAATTTAGCTGTGAATTACTTGTAGAAGACAGAAAGACAACGAGCAGAGATATTGCAGTTTTTCTTGCTGAAAAATCACAATATTGCACTGAATTATACAGTTAGTTAAATACTGTGCACTGTTTATTTTTGGTCTTACGATTTCTCTTTCAGCATATATTATTCATTGTAGCTTCAGTTCTGATGTATTTTTATTAAGAGTAAAATGCTTTATAGTGCATATTTTTGTATTCTAAAGATCAGCAAACATTAAATGTTACATTAGAAGTTTAAAGCAAATAATAGGCTATAGTGTACCGGAAACGGAGACAGCAGCGACCCTTTTTTATATAGTTTCTTTATATATTCAGCGGCAACTGTGCACCATCATACTCGGTGATGTTGTTCACTTTGAACTAGTTCCGGGGACGTTCAGAATAGCGTGCAGCTCCTGATGGTAACAATAACAAACTCTTTACGCCCCCTGGTGTCGATAGTTGGTATGTCCAACGGACCCTTCCATTCAGATGTAATTTCCTCCAGCTGGCACACGAGGGAGCTATTTAGCTATGGTAGAATATACACAAGCGTCAAGCCTTAACCCACAGTTTACTTTCTAAATTACCACATTTAAGAGTCGAAGCTGCTTAAACCTAAACTGTCATTCTTTACTTAGTTCACAGACTGAATAAATACTTAAATCATTCCATACCATGAAACCTGTGAGTAAACAGGTCTTCCATAGTGAAGGGTTTGTGGATAAGATATGCTTAAGATAAGGGTGCAGTACTAATGTATCTTAGTTAGGGGTGGATTTACCATTAGGCAAAACTAGGCAGTTGCCTAGGGCCCCCATAAAAGTCATTTTACATGTAAGGTTAATACAGCTATTAGTGATTTGTGCACATTAATTATATTTTTGATAAAAATCCTTTCCTTAAAATGCCATCAGAACTCTTATAATATTTAGTGAGTCTCAGCCCCCCCTTTAGTGTCCACCACATTGGATCAGGCCATTGGCTGCATATGTTCAGAAAGGTCCAAACAGACAGCAACAAAACCATTTGAAAAACAAAGGGTGCGAAGAGCAGTGTTGCCAAATTAGCACTTTTGTCACTATGTTTAACAACTTTTCAGACCCCTCTAGAGCTTTTATTACAAAAAAAAGTGCTTAGCTGAAAATCTACTGACTTTTTTCTGCTACTGGAGACTTTGGCAACAACATATAAAAGCAGTGAACTCTGCTCTCCAGAGCAAGTAGATTCATAACTCTGCCTCCTGTTCTCTTCTATCTTGTCTGCTGTCATAATTCATGCAGCTATTATTTTATTTAAGTAAAAAATGGAAACGGATAAGTAGACCATGGCTTGTCTACAGTGAAAAGAAGGACTGGGTTATTTGCTTTTGCTGTGGCCTTTTTGGAAACACAAGAAGGAGCAATGTTCCTAAGTTAGAATGGGCTTAGTGATTGGAAAATCTTTGATTCCTTTTCAGGCAGCATTAAGAGTCAGCTGAGCACATTGCAAATATGAAAAGAAAAATGGACAAAAGAAAAAATAGAGGGGAAAACAGCAAGAAAAGGGATAGAAAGAAAGGGAAATGTATGTCTATTCTATTAAAAGTTCTGTCTCTGTATAATAGGCCTGTTTTAAATGTTGTCTTCTCAATT